GCCTCACGCACCAAAACAATTTCTAGCCATAATGCATGTTCCGAAAACATGTCTCAACAACAATGCATGGAGTTCACTGTTTTGGTTCTCTCTGAGGCATTTTTACGAACAACACACCTCGATCTTCACAAAACAGATACATCATAAACTCAAAAAATTTGCTCAATGCATGGATTACACCGATTTAGGTCTGTTTGCGGCATTATTACGAACACACCTCGATCTTAACAAAGCAAATAAATGAACGCAAGAGATTAGCGACTATGAAACCCATTCAACAAAACCGACTTTGGAATCTGGTCACATAACGAGTCTTAAAACAAAATGTTAAACCTCGCAAACGAAAAGCAGATGAACAGAGACGTGAACGCAATCACATACCTTTGAAAATCTCCTCCATGGTCATGGAGGCGGCGAGGACACGAGTCTCGCCCTCGATGACACCCTGAACGAGTTCATTGACGTGGTTGGACTGCTTGTCGTGAGACGCCATGAGCTTGGCGTACTTGAGGAGGGAGTCCGGGTCGTCGACGCGAGGACCGATGGTAAAGACGGCGGGGAGGATGAAGGGAAGCTTCTCGGCGCTCATGGCCTGGACCTCGAACGTGTAGTTGACCGGAGACACGTCGAACTTGGTCCATTGCTGACCAGGAAACACCCACGACTTCTTCGCGAGCTTTATGTCGGAGATCCCGGCTCCGGTGATCGCCAGATACTCCGACGCGTTCGCAACTCTGAACATCGTTACGTTGCCCTGCTTTGAATCGAGAGTTGATTCTAGGGTTTGTGATGGATGGATTTGGGGATTTCTCCCTTGAGCAGAAGAGTAGAGGACTCAAAACAGAATGAAGTAGGGGGTTTATATATACGCATCAATATAACGCAGTGTTGTGTTTTTTTTTTTTTTTTTTTCAAAACGCAGTGTTATGTTGTGTTGTGTATTTCTTCCATTGTTTTTGGATGACTATGAATAATGCGTAATTAATTTATTTCCCTAATATGAATTTAAAAAATTCTAATGTAACTTATACATAATAAAAATTAATATTATTATTATGTAGAGTCGATCAATAATTGTATGTGTGATAACTGTGATATGATTTATTTACATTTTCCTATGATTTTTTTATTGTTTCCAGAAGTGGACCGAGGGGCCCAAATTAGGAATAGGTCTTTCTACGTGGGGCCCGTACCCACATATTCCTGCATGCATGGCGAGAATATATAACGAATAATGTCACAGCAACTCCTTTGTTACAGTAAAAAAGAGCAGAAAATAAAATCGTATAAAAATAAAATGTTATAAAGTAATATTTACATTTTGTGTTTAAGACAACATTTAAATATGGTATGCGTTGCAGCCTGGAACCTCACTTTCTTGGACCGAGAATATGATTCTTGATTAATGGACAAGTGGATTCAAACTACAAATTAAAATTAACAAATAATTAGCTTATGTAAACATGAGATTTTACGAGTTTTCTGATTTCATTTGTGATACCGAATATGTCTCGTGAGATTCTATTGGAATAGAAACTAACTAGTAAAATATAAAAATACTGCTGTGCGTAATATATTATAGTTTCAACTAATATTTGATTGTAATGTTGGAATATTTAAAAAATATTCTCATGATTAAATTCAATAATTTAGCATTTAGATTTTATAACGGTTGTTATGGTATAAATGCTGTCATGGATAAATGGATATTTTCCGGCAAATTCTGGAAATCAAATATATAGAAATACCAAAATTCAATAATCTTGCAGGCTACCCATTTTTGAAGATTTATAGCATTATGCAATCAAAATATATTTTTATATATTTATTCAGATTTTCTTTGATGTTTCAAATTGATAGATCTATGATGTTTTATCACATATAATTAATTTTCAAATCAACTTGTAATTTTATAAATAAATTTGTAATTTCGCATGAATGATTTCAAGAACGAGTGCTTGATCCGCTAAAGTGATGAAAATCTTAGTTTCCATGTTTTTCATTCTCGGATGATGATGATTATGATTATGATTATTATGACATTATTATTATTATTATCAAATAATTAATTAATTAATTAAGATGATACCAGACAACAGTCACGCATAAGATTGGGCTATATTCTACTCTATCCGGATCTCTAGTTTCACCTTAACTATTTAACAAAAATCGTTGGTAGGACCCTTATCCCTCATTATTCCTTTTTTTTTTGTCAAAGGCTAACACCCCAAGGGTGTCAATTTAGCCATAAGCACGGCTCGAGTCAACCCGAAAAATATTGGTTTTCGAATTTAAATTTTTCGGCATAAAAAAATTAGTTTTCGAATCGGGTTCAAATCGGATTTTGGATCGGCTCGGAAGTCCAATAATTTTAAAAAAAATAAAAAAAATATATTTACAAAGCAATTAAACGGATTGATCCGAGTTGATCTGAAACCTATAAAATCAATCTTTGGGTTTGGTTATATAGACCCTAAAAAAATTGGATTGGTCCGAATCTGAGTCAGAAATCTTCGGGTCAGGTGCAAATTCGGGTAGGATCAGTCCAACTGATATCCCTACCTTGATTCTTTATATTTTTAAACATTATAATTTGCAAACTTCATCAGAAAACATAAAGGAAGATTGAGATAAAATTACATAAAAAAAAATTAATAAAAAGAGAAAATCTATATCCATGTGTTTAACTCTAACGATGAATTTTCCAAACAAATGTCTCGTGAGTTTTAAGACAAATATGGAATAAATATTACTAATACCAATTAATTCAATATATTAGATTGAATAAAGTCGTCCTTAACTAATCCTCAATATATATATATATATATATATATACCACAAATATACATCATGATGTATTACTTCCTACTCGGTCGTTATTATAAGTTTGTAAAAATTAATTAAAAATAGATTGAAATATTAATTATCGAAAAACAGCATTAACAAAGTTCTCACCCAAAAAAAAAAACATTAACAAAGTTGGGTGTGTAAGAAGAAACATGAACACAATGCGAGTCGCCGACACGTCGCCTGAGTTCACGCCGTGACGGCAGAGGGAACAGCTTCGTGCCTCTCAAGTATCCATCTCCGACGTCCGTCATCATAATTAATTATTTTATTCAATATCACATAATCAACCCATAAATTATACTCATCCGTTGAATAATATTTTATATTATAACCCAATGTTATATAATATATCTAATAGCATTAATTTATATGCTTTTTATTATTTTAATATTGTTTTTAAAGCAGTAAATGGATGCTGAGTTTCTGTGACGTGGCATTGATAAAAAAAAAAGTGTAAGCCTTTTGTTTATCGGGTTGAACTGCGCCCTTTGGACTAACCGAGACCTCAGCATGCATGAACTCGAATATCGGGATTGAAAAATTCGTTATTCGTTATTATTATTTTATTCCATTTTCCTACGGCCATAGATGCATCTTAGCTTATAGGGGTATTAATGTGAATTAAACACTCAATATTTTATATTTTACTATATCTAATATCTAATTAGAAATTAATTTGTGAAGTGTGGGTAACAAAACGGTAAAATGGAATTACAAAGTGTTCTTCGACCCCACCTTTATATAAATTATTACCAAAAAATAATTAGAAATTAAATTTGAGAAAAAAAAATGGGGATTCAGTAATGTCAATCCAAACCTAGTTATGTAAAAAAAATATGGACATGTTTAATGGTATTTATAAATGACTTTATAAAACAATATTTTTGGTAATAATGGAATCCGTGTCAGAGTGTTTTTGAGTCAGACAACATCTGGTACAGTAAATCCATCGATACCATACAATAATCGGCAAACCATGCGGAATAGATACCGAAATTGATCGAGTTAAGAAAGACCCATACCTCAAAAGGAATCGAATTCACAAAATAATGCAAAATCGCATTTTTTTTAACTGCCATACATTTTTCATTTTTGGTTACTTAAAAACTGAAAAGCTAATGTCTTAAACGTTGAACGTAACTAACTAACTAACTTCAACACTTATTTGGATATATATAATTCTTATTTTGTTGCATCTAGAACTTGTGAAATAGACTCTACTCGTAAAAAATAAAATAGAAAGACGGATGAAAACTCAATGTGATGTTGATTTTGTTAGATAATCTTATTTTTAGCAAAAATTTAAATTACGTGTGGAATTTTTTTTTCCAATATGCATTATCCTATTTGCCCCTACGCAAAAATTCCCCAAAAACAATACATAAAATTGACTACAAACCGAAACAATAGGTGACGGAGAATGTATTTAAATAACTATTGGATTTACTTGCATTTTTTTAGGGAATTTCGAAATTCAACAATAATTTTATTTTTGGGATTTTTTTTAATGAAAACTCTAGCATTGCTTTTTAATTGGGGGACCGGAGATTGTTTAATTACCAAAATACCCCTTCGGCGACGCGGGTTGAAATAACAAAAAGGAAACCACGCTCGTCCCACGGTTTTATCGCTGCCTTATCTTCTTCCCTCTATATATACCCCACCGGATAATTCTGTTTCATCACCACTCACCACTTTCCAACCCCAACAGAAAAAGAAAATTCAAATCGGAGGTTTTTTTCTATTTGTTTTCTTTTTGAGATTATTCAGTTTCTGTGTTCGAATTCGAAATCGGAGCGAGATGTTCAGTGAATGCAGCAGCTCTTCGTCTTCATCTAGATCGGTGAGATTAGGTAACAGGCTGAGATCGCCGATCTGCTGTTTCGGCGCGAATGCGGTGGAGCCGGAGGCGACGATCGGGCCGAGGACGCCGAGATCGCCGTACGCGTGGCTGAAATCGACGGCGCACGAGCTCGAGATCAAGGATCGGTGCCGGCGCGTGAAGGCGCGCATCAAGGGGACACACCGGAACAGCGGCGGAAACCACAACCACCATGGCTCCGGGGATTTCAGCTACGATCCTCTCAGCTACGCGCTCAATTTCGAGGACGACGTCCGCGCCGACGAGGACGAGTCGTTTCCCAGTTTCATATCGAGGTTGCCGATTTCTCCGGAGCGAAAGCCCCATCCGGCGGCGATCGCTCTAGTCTCCGTCTAATCTCTTTTTTATTTGTGAATCTGAGCAATGTGCGTACGGACTTGGCCGTCTGCTTAGGATGACGACGACGACGTAAAAGTTAGTCCGAGCGATATAAGATTGTAATATATGCGAAATCTCCTAAGCTTCCAGCCTTTGTGTATAAATGATTTGTATAGTTTTTATTTCAATGCTTACCATAACTAATTTGATGATCAAATTAACCAATCCTCTGATATATATAAAATTTTGAACGTATCAGAGATACAGTGATGTTATTGTTGAAAACTGGTCAAGGGGATGAGAGGGAAGTTGGATGACATAAGCATACGTCATTATTCGGTTTAGAGGTCACGGGCCATAAAGTATAACAAAGCCCTGGTTTTTTTAAGGTAGTTGAGGTGGGTTAATTATAATCAATTAATATAATTTAATGTAATGTAATATGATATAAACAGATTTAGTGTATGAAATCAATAAATGGATATGTAAGGAGTAGGACTAACCACAAATACCCGAAAATCGGGTATCCGTCAGACATTCATCTCGTGTATACTCGATTTTAAAATATTTGTATCTATTCAAATCTAAATTCAAATCCGAACTTTTTATCCATAAATCATAATAAAAATTTTAAAATCGGATATATCGGATATCCACTAGTATGATTATAAATTATTATATCTTATATCTATATAATATTTTTATAAATATAATTATTTTTTTAGAACCATCGCTACTATCCAATCTTTACCTGTAGAATCGAAATGGCCACCACCTGACGCCTAACGATCTCAGAGTGACCTGTCCACCAGATACGCCTAACGTTCGACCACCACGAGGTGGGTATAGGACGCGCTGATGGAGTAAACCTCATGTCCACGTGCACGAGCCTACAACACACACGTTTGAGATAAATCAACCGTAATTGACAGGCGACAAGTGAACGGACAAAGAGTCGAAACCCAACCTCTCAGGTATGTTGACCATACTCCTTGCCAACTCACCTAAAGAATTCCCCAAAATAATTATCTCAACAAATTAAATTTATTATTATTTATCTCTTATTTTCTCTTTTTATCATATATTTTTATCTTAATTCATCCACTTTTATAAATATATCTTTATTTTTTAAAAATTTTATATATAAATATTGTTGTTTTTTTAAATAAATCTGGATCCGAATATCTGTGAATACTCGAATATTATTTTAGATATCTATATCTCGGATACTCTTAAATCTAAAATCTCACGTACAAATCTTATAATTGAATATAAATCTAAATAACCTAATTTTCTCGGATATAGGAACGGTGTCCACCCTAGTAAAGAGTGGGGAAAAAATAGAAAAAGGACAAAGGATGAGTGTGAGTGAGGATGGATAAGGTGGAGGTGATGATGTGGTGATGAGTAAGACGTGAAGCGACTAGCGTTAAAAGATTAGCACTTTTTCACATGGAACCATTTCCTTTTCTTTCCTTTTCTTTCAAAAAATAAATAAATTTCCCCTTTGATTGCAAGTTGACTCACCAACCTGTTCTGACAAAATCTTCAATGATCTAAAAGCAGGATCACTAAGTCTTAGATTATCGCCAATTTATTGTTCTTGGAGTTCGAATGAATTATTCTGTTTTATAAAATGATAGAAAAATAGTCAAAAATATTCATGACTCAACCGAATAAATCTGTTTCACAATTAAAGTTTGAGTTTTTATTTGGAAATGTGTATTTATTTGAATTTTTTTAATTTTTTTGGGAGATATAGATGGAGGTAATATTGATAAAAAAAATTAATATAAAAAATGTATTTGGTTAAAAAAACTTGAAATGGAAATAAAGTAATATTGGATCATCTATGCGACCCGTACGAACCAATCCATTTTTTGTTTGACTCGTTATGGACCGACCCGTGAATCTTTTTTTTTTACTAGAATTTAAAAAAATATAAACCGACATTGATCGATAGAGATCTAAAATTGATTTCTAGACAGAAATCCGGCTTGCTTTCATGCAAATATTCTTTTATTTCCGCATTGTATATATGTATAGTTCTGTAGTTATGCGAATTTGATTCTTGCAATATAGATTAGTCTTTGTCAAATTATTCGTAATCGTGTTTTAAGTTAAAGAAAATTGTGAATTTACCCTATTAATTAAAAAGCTTATGACGTTAGCTTTTTCATGCCCTTGTCTACCTTTTTACCTAATTCATAATCTTTACAAAAAATTTCGAAATGATTTACAATACCATTGTCATAAAAGTTTATTTTATTACTCTCTTTTATTCAAAAACACATACACACACATACATACTTTTTGTCGAAAAAAGGAGACAACCTATATGACTAACAGGGTGACATAACATTCTGCCCAAAAATGGAAAAAAAGAGAGAAAATATTTAAAAATTCATTAATATATGTCGTAGGACTAATACCTTTTTTGTGAAGATTTTGTCATGAAACTCCAAAAAATAATTAAAGATTAATATAGGAGCACATGTTTTGAAATAATCTTTTTATTTTTCTGGTAACTTGAAAAATATAATTTTTTTACTTATATTGGGCTTAAGTTTTAGTCTAAGAATAGTTTTTAATAACCCTATTTCAATAATTTTTGAATTATTAACATTTTTCATAAGTATATTAAATTGGGCTATTTTGGGCTTAAAATAAAATTATTGGGCCTAATATTGATATATATTTAAATGTTATGATAAACTTTTCAGCAAATTCCTAAAGGCAACCGCTGATCATCATTTGCCAGGTTGGCAACGACACGTGTCATGACAAATTTTCTTTATTAAGAACAGAAAAATATTTATTTCTTATGTGGTCATCGTAACGGGGGAGGAGAATCTACTAAACTTTTTTTTTTAATTAAAACCATTTCGATATATAAACTAAAACCGAATAAATATGATTTTAAAAAAAAATTAAAACCTTTCTAAAAAGAAATTAAATTGAATATAAAAAATCAAAAACTATCTTTTTTTTCAAATATAATCATATAAATAATAAGTGAAATGGAACCAAGACAAAAAAGGAATGAACAAATATTCCAACTCTAAAATAAACAAATCAAAATAATCATACTTCTGATCTCCATATATATATATATATATATATATAATGACAATGATGATTTCAAATATTCATAACAAAACTCATTCAGACAAGCATTTTACAAAAGCTTCTAAACAAAACCCTGAATCATTCTTTTTTTTTTTCTTTCTTTTGTTCTTTTTTGGTGTTGTGTTCTCTAAATACAAAAAGCATCAAAATGACCAAACTATGTAACGGCACAAAAGTTACTTCTACTTGTGTCTTAAATCAAACCTCAACGCCCTACCCCGTCTCCTGTCTCTGTGTAAGAAAAAGCTCAATATATCCCTTCTGTCTTCTTCTCTTTCTACCAAACTATGTTTTGGTCCATCCATTGTAACTGCTCCATGTTTTTCTTCTACCCAAAACGCTCTGCAGCTATTTTGTCACCTGCATTGCTTCATCAAATCACATCTGAGTTCAGTGAATCGACCGAATGCTACAAAATCACAATACAAATTTCGGTTTTATGTTCTATATTATGTGTGTGTGTGTGTGTGTGTATTTGAGTACTAGAAGAACTCGAAGCACTGAAAGACGTATCCTATCATTGGTGATAATGGTTTTGATATATACTAAGACAACAAGTATTAGAATCCTTTCAAGTGTCGGGAGTCATGTCGAAGGGGAAAAAAATGCCGGGTTTTAATAAATCTCGAATCTTTCTTTTATATCGATATATGAATGTATGTGTATATATATATATATCATACCTTTTGCGTTTGTTCTTCGAGACTGTGGAAGAAGATGGATTGCTGTGCCAGTTCCTCTTTCTCTGGTTGATGAACCAATTGTTTATCTGTTTAAGCTGCAAACCCGTCTCCTGCACCAGCCTCGCCTTATCTTCCTCCTGCCAAGAACACCAAAAACGTTCACCATATGGATAGACGATACAGTTTTTGCGCGAAAAAGGACATTAACTGTGAGTTTTGATGTTAGAATACGAATGATGGAAGGAGTTGGGAAGAGGTGGCTCACAGTGGGATAAGGCCACTTGGAATGAGATTGCCACCATGCTTTGAGGACAGAGGTGGTGTCTCCTGGTAGTTTCCCTGCTCTTCTCTTCCTCAGTATCTCCTCTCTTATGTCTACAATCTTTTCTTTGTAACCCTTTCATTTTAGAGAAAATCTACGTCGTTAGATCACTAAATGCTGTGAAAACAAACCCGAAAGGAGAGGATAAGGTTAAGATAAAATGTAAAGAGTTGTAGACAAAAGGGGTATTGTTGTTACCTGTTTGAGTTCATGTTTGAGTTCTTGTCGGACACGTTCCATCAAGGATCTCTCGCTCTCGGTAGGAATCAGAGGACCAAACCCTAAGCCATCTAAGCTTCCATCATATATATTAGCATCGCTCTCTACTTGTTCATCTTCATCGTCCGACATTGTAGCTCCTGTTCCTTCTCCGGGCGATACTCCTGCTCACATCACCAACCAGTGTTTACTGTCCAAGACTCAGACAGCTCCACAGCTTTGTAATGGAAATTGGAAAACCATAAGATCTTGTCTGACTCAAACTCACTTGTCCTATTAAGGTAGGTAAGTATGCATGTCTTGGACCTTTAGATCCGAAATAAATCATTTGACATTTAAGAGGAACCAAACTCTAAACCTAAAGCTTCATGAGTCGATCTTTTAGGATTTCAGACTCTTTGAATACCATTAGAGAAAAGAAGGACAAGGACATGGAGGGCCAAATAGATTTGCATGGTTCTTCAAGAGAGAGGTTGGTCTCTGCACTTTGTATGCACGTGGATACGTGACTTTGGTCAGGAAAGAGAGATGAGATGCACGTTAAGAATACCTGTTAAGCTTTGAAGAGACTGCTCAATCTCCCAACAGGCCATGACAGCTTCCATTGCATGGACTCGGACATGTTGTTGCAGTTGTTCTTTGAAAGAACACAGCAGCAATACGTAATGGGTCTGCGTTGTAATAAACACAGAATATCTTACTACACAAAAACAAAACAAAAAACCCTCGATCCGAAACCAAGAAACGCACGCATCGGCTTTCTTGTTTTTGTCTGAAACATTAATGTGGAATGGTTATGGGAAATTCAATATGAGAGATTAAAACAAAGGATGAATCTCTTGGTGACATGAATCATGGACCATCTAACCCAATATTGATGATCTTCCACGCCAATGGAATCGAATTCACTGCCAAATATTTTCTGGAATTTATTTAGAGAGTGACCAAATTTTCACCCCTTAGCTGTCGGTGCAGTGGCAATTTGCCTTTTCTTCTTTCTATCAGCTCATAACAAAAAAATAATGTTTTTTTTTATAAAAAAAAAATAATTCCAAGAACTAATCTAGTTATAATCTTGGCAATTGTCAAACCTTCTAGTTGCATGACGAAGAAACCAGGGGGGAGAAAAAAGAGGAAGAAGAAACTGGGATTCAGACAGAAACCAACGACACGTCAGACAGCCGAAATTTCGAATTTCGAATCATTAATTTTCTGACATAGAAGAAGAAATGATTAACCTGAATAAATAAAAAAAATTAGAAAATAAAAAGGAGAGAGAGAGAGAGTACCATGAACTGGTCAAGCTCCTTGTCGTCGCCGATGAGTCCCTGAGCAGCTCCCAACGCCGAGTACTTAGACACGACGTGCTGCGACTGAGCGAGCTGCGCGTCGATCCTCGGCAACTGGTCCACCGGCGTGGCTATCCTCAGACACGCCACGTGAGCCGACAGCAGCTGTTCGTACAGTGGATGCGACAGTATCTCCGCCTTGCACCTCGCATTCTGCCAGTTCTCCGCCCCCTCCCCTCCTCCTCCGCTCTCCGTCTTCTCTCCCCCTCCCTTCATCTCCCCTCCGATCATCGTCTCCGCTTCCCCTCCTCCTCCGCCGACGTCGTCGATGACATCACCGGCGACGACTCCGGCGTTGGTGCGTTGTAGAAGAGAGGAGGAGGATCGGGAGAGCCACTGGTTCGTCGCGGCGGCGGCGGATGAGGGAGAGTCGGAGTTGGCAGCGACGGAGGTGTGGAGGTTGAGGAAGTTCGTGTCGGAGGAGCGGAGGAGCGCGGTGTTCAGCCAGTTAGGCGGCGGCGTCGCTTCCTGGAAATGCTGCGTCTGCGTCTGCGTTTGCGGTGGCTGCGGCTGCGTCGGCGGCTGGGGCTGGGACTGGTCGGAGAAGTGATTGAAGGAGGTGTCGTGAGAGAGGTGAAACGCCATAGGTTTGATCTCTGCGTGTATTGTTATTATTATTATTATTTCTTGTTCAAATTTCTGTTTCGTGAGAGGGAAAGATAAAGAAAGAGGAGGAGGAATCTCTCTGCTTGTTACGATTCTTTCATCTTTCAATTATCATTTCATTTATTCTTTTTTTTTTTTTGAGGAAGAAAAATAAACTTTGAAAATAAAATTTATGAAAACACAAGGTTTGGGTTTTCTGAATATATATACACACATATATATATATATTTTTTTTTTCTCGGAGTGACCATTTATATTGATATTACTTTTTTTTTCTTTTTACCAAATTAAGGTTGCTTATTAAATTATATAATTTATATTTGACATAATATCATCCAATTTCATAGCATTCCTTATAAATTTTGCTAGTGGCAATACCCTACTCAACACGTAATTTTCAGCAATCAATCAACAAATGTATAATAAGATTTGATTTCTATATACATATATATACAAATGATTGTAGATTTGGATGCTTATTCAACATTTACCATATCAACCACTACAAAACATATCATTAAATCCCCTTTTGGGCATCATAATTAATTCGTTTTTTTTTTAAATTATTGTTGCGTATAAAAACACATCTTTCGAAAGGCAAACGTATGAAAGATGGTCCCCACACACACACACAAGAAAAAAATAATTAAAATAAAAGAGTAGTAGGTTGGCGTGGAGCAATCCGAATCGTCGATTTCTGGGTGGCGACTTAATTCATTCAGATCGGACGGTTAAACAAAGTTTGCTCCGCAATTTATTAAATGCAATAATAAATAATAATAATAATAGAGTTGCTACGTGTTTAATTTCCAAACGCGGGGCAAAGCGCGTGCTCCTCACGCGCATCGTTCACTGTTATCTGTTATACCAAACTGTAGCAACAAGCGAATCTATGTTTCGATGCTTTTATATATATATATATATATTGGGTCGCACTAGAAGACAAAAGACCCACACATATTGGTTGTGTGTGTATATATATACACTTTATATATTGTCATGACAGCATCAAGGATCGTGATAATTACACATAAATGAAAAATAACGATAATATTAGTGACACGTATCATCATTATTCTCTGTACTTTTTTTTTTCCTATGAATTTCCACCAAACAGTTAGTCACTAGATGTCAAAATGGCGGTGAAGCTGTAATATAAAATAATCGAGAAGGGTTTTAAATAATAATAAATTATAATATAAAATTCGTTTTTTTTTTGTTTTTTTGGTAAACAAGGCACATATATAAAACGTCAAAAACAAAATAAAAAAAAAAATCATATTTGGGTGTTGAAAATGTAACCCGTTTACATTTGAACAGCGAAAAAAATAAGCTATTTAAAATATCAAAAGTGCTTCACCAATAACCGATTTTAGTGATGACCGGTTTCAAGGTAAACCTGTTCACATTTCAAATTTAAATAAGTTCCTAAACGAATAAAATAATTTGAAAACATTAAATTTATCAGTAGTTTTACGTATATATGTTGGGATTTGATTCCAGGAATTTAAAGATTCTAATAAAGTTTTAAAATATCAGGATTTATGTACTATAATTAAAATATTTTTCCCATTTGATCATACAAATTTCCCATTAATTTATTGAATTCTCACATCCATATTCCTCGAATATTCTCCTCATAAAGATAGAAAAAAAATTGTATTTAGTATGAGAAAAGTAATTCTCTAATGTTTTATTAACAATGATTGTCGACATATATACAGCACTCTGTTGCTATTTTTAAGGAAAGAAGAAGAGCAAATCAATTTGAATGGGATTACAATCTTGACCAAACGACGAATTGCAGATTTTGTGGTGTTATGGGTTCTCTCCTATTATGCCCCCGCAAGTTGGTTGTCGGTTGAGACACCAATCTTGATTCGGAGTTCGTCGAAGCGTGTTCGTGGCAGCGGCTTTGTTAGTGCATCAGCTAACTGGTCTTTTGAAGAGACGTGTGTGACACGTAGCTGCTTCGATTGAACTAGTCCTCTGATGAAATGGAAATCTATAGCGACATGCTTCATTCGGGAATGAAACACGGGATTTGCGGCCAAATACGTGGCACCTACATTGTCGCAATAAATCACCGGTGGAGTAGAGTGTGTAATACCTAACTCGGAGAGAAGTGAGATGATCCACTGGACTTCCGAAGCAGTTGATGAAACAGACTTGTACTCGGCCTCGGTAGACGATTTTGCGGTGAAACGCTGCTTCTTAGAAGACCAAGATACAAGGTTAGAGCCAAGATACACTATGTAAGCTCCCGTTGAGCTGTAGTCATCTCGGTCTCTCCCCCAGTCAGCATCCGAAAAAGCATGAACATCATACGGTGAGTTGGTGCGAAAGTGAATGCCGAGGCCGAGATGACTGTCGTTGATGCCATCGGCGTTGGGACAGATTTTGCATCAGCCATGTTGTGTCGCATGAGGAGATCATTTATGTATCGCTGTTGAGTCAGACGGATTCCACTCTTATCACGGGTTACCTCAATGCCGAGGAAAAATGACAGCTTGCCCAGATCTTTGAGTGAGAATCGATGGGCAAGGACGTCAATGAATGTCTGAACCTCCACAGAATCATTCCCGGTTATGACAATGTCGTCAACATAGACGATCATGTAGATTGTTGTATGGCCATGCCGGTAGATGAAGAGTGATGAGTCGGAAAGAGAGTTCACAAACCCGGATTGTAGTAGGAAGTGTCGGAGTTCATTATACCATGCCCGGGGAGCTTGCTTAAGACCGTATAACGCCTTGTGCAGTTTATATACATGTGAGGGACGATCTTTGTCTACAAATCCCGGCGGTTGAACCATATAGACATCGTCATGTAAGGTGCCTTGAAGAAATGCGTTATTGACATCAATTTGGCGTAGTTCCCATCCTTTTTGGACAGCAAGACTTATAATAACACGGATGGTAGCTGCCTTTATCACCGGACTGAATGTTTCCGTGTAATCTAGGCCCGGTCTTTGATGGAATCCTTTGGCAACGAGCCTTGCCTTGTGCCTGTCAATAGAGCCATTAGAGAGTCGTTTAAGACGGAATACCCATTTGCAACCAACCAGATTATAAGATGGACTAGGAGGAACAAGGCTCCATGTTCCATTTCGAACCAAGGCCGTGAACTCTTCTGCCATAGCCGATCTCCAATTCTGATCTTTTAGGGCCTGAGATACACATGTAGGTTCACGTTCACTTGGCGAGGATAAGGTTGAGGTAAGGGAGTGTTTTGTATGTGTTTTGGTTATGTTATTTTTGGCTCGGGTTGTCATGGGATGGATATTTCTTGGTGGTGAAGGTATCGTGTCTTGTGGTGCGGTGTTTGCGGTAGTAGTGTGGTCTGTGTCTGACGATGATGGGGTTGTCTGTGTTTCGATGGGATGTGTGTTGGCAGGTGACGCGGGTTGATGGGGAGGATTATCCAAGGGTTGTGGTGACAGTGTCATTGATGAAGAACCGTTGGACTGGAGCAAGGCAGACGACGATGGCATTGGCGGTGTGTACGGTGACCATGGTTGGACAAGTGTCGAACTGGTAGGTAGACAGAGGTGAGATGAATCAGAAGGTGTGTTTTTGGAGTGGGAGGATTGATGGGAAAAAGGAAACACATGTTCTACGAACTCGACATGGCGAGATACGTAGAGACGACCCGAATAGACCTCAAGACAAAGAAAGGCGCTTTGGCTTAGAGAATAGCCAACAAAGACACAGCGAGTTGAACGAGGTTGAAGTTTATGTTTTGTGTATGGTCGGAGCCATGGAAAGCAAAGGCATCCGAAAGTTCGGAGTTTCGAGTAGTTTGGAGGTGGGCCGAAAAGAGATTGAAAAGGGGATCGGTTGTCTAGGACTCGGGTGGGCATTCTATTTATTAGGTACACTGCTGTAGGAATAGCAAATGTCCAATATATTGTAGGAATGGAAGCGTGGGTGAGTAAAGTGAGAGCAGTTTCGACAATATGTCGATGTTTTCTTTCGGAGATTCCGTTGTGTTCGGGAGTATGAGGTGGGGTAGTGTAGTGGGATATGCCATGGTCGGACAAGAAGGATTTGAGGGCTAAGTATTCTCCACCATTGTCGGAGTGAAGAGATACGATTTTGGTGTTAAAACGGTTCTCAATGAGAGCTTTGAACTTAGTAAAAACGGAGAAGACATCGGATTTCCTTTTGAGAGGATATAACCAAGTGTAGCGTGTATAATGATCGACAAATACAACATAGTATTTGAAGCCATCAAACGACGTTACGGGAGATGTCCACACATCCGAAAAAACTATTTCAAGTGCTTTAGAGGAAGACACGGTTGATGTGGAAAATGGTTTCTTGTGACTTTTATTAATGAGACATGAATCACATGACAAAGGAGAGGAACATGATATAGAGGTATTGGAAAGAGAAGCATCCGAGAGGATTTTATTTAGTACATCATGGGCTGGATGTCCTAGTCTATGATGCCACAGGGAAGGAGATGTTTTTGTGGTGGTGTAGGCTATGGGATGAGACACGGATAGGGATGGGTTTGGTTGTGTATATGGCCATTCGTACACACCGTCTTTAAGACATCCTCGAGCTAGACTTTCACAGAACAGATGGTCAAAGAAAAGTTACCTCAGCACTAACTGTGTAAGATATTTCTTTGCCGATGATCTCTGAAAACAATGAAAAGCTTATAATCGATCAAGCCCAGACAAACTTGGCATTGCCAAATACGTATAAACACCAAACAATCTCTACGAATTTGTAAATTTTCTACCTCTTGCGTCTCGCTTGGACAAGCAAAGAGGACATTCCGCGTATTTGGGCGATTTCAAAATCAGCATCGTCCCGCACAAGTTGCAGAATAAGAAACCGCTTTCCAGAGATTTCACCATCAGAGAACCTTCGACCAAAGACAAACCAAACGTATCTACAGATTTCAAATCCTTACAGAAACAAAACTAATAGATACACGAACTCGGTCGGAAGATCATTCGTAGATATCGAAACCGTGTCTAATTTTATACTCATTCGTAGGAATAAATTTTTATTTTTTGTAAATTTTTATTTATTTTTTCATCTGCCCACCAGCCACAAACTTCTGTTTAACCCAATTTCATCCAACATTTTAAATATTCTGTTTTAAATAAGACATGTCTAAGAGTTTTAGTGAGTTAAAAATTAAAAAAATACACATTATCTTAAAAAAATAATTTTACACTATGCATATCTTTACCATCCATAAAATTATTTAGGTTAGACTAAACATTAAAATTTTAAAGATATAATAATAATAATAATAATAATAATAATAATAATAATAATAATAATTGAGAACACCAATCTGTCTTGGCGGAACCAAGGAAGGTATGCAGGGTTTGTTGTTGTCGCATTGTTGGAGATGATTGTTGTCGGAGGAGCCGAGGTTGGTTCAAGGAAACTCTCCAAATTGTATCCTTGAAGAAGAGCCCTGAGTTGAACACTCCATGTGATGTAGTTCATGGAGGTTAGCTTGGTTACATTGGTAACGTTCACGTTAATTAACGTGAAATGAGGGCTAGCGGCATTAAATGGTGTGACAGTTTCAGGAGAAGGGGCGGTAGCATCAGAGGATGTGTTCTCGGTGGCCATGGTAGCAGCGAGATTTGGGTGGAGTTTGAGGGTGTCGATGGTGGAAAAAAAAATTAGAGTTGCGTCGTGAGACGTCAAAAGGCTCTGATTACCATATGAGAAAAGTAATTCTCTAATGTTTTATTAACAATGATTGTCGACATATATACAGCACTCTGTTGCTATTGTTAAGGAAAGAAGAAGAGCAAATCAATTTGAATGGGATTACAATCTTGACCAAACGACGAATTGCAGATTTTGTGGTGTTATGGGTTCTCTCCTATTATTTAGTTATTCAAAATTAGATGATTTAACTGATAATTAAAGAAGAGAATAAAATTATTAAAAATATTCATATTGATTTTTTCGATTTTCTGAAAAATATAATATTTTTTTTTGTTGAACTAGAAAATATAATTGAATCAAACTTTTGAATTATAAAAGAAAAAGGTGTGCATGTAGTCTATTGAGTTGTCACAATTAGGTCGGCTAGCTCTTGTTGTATAAATTAATATATTATTGTATAAAAGGAAAATATAAAAACAGTGAAGTCCAATCATCAAAACAACTTCTACACGGAGCAAAGAAAAAAAAAGTCCTTTGTAAAAGACTAATATAGCGATTTGTTTACTCTCATGATAATATATACAAACATCTCGTGAAACCATGCACCCACAACGCATAATTAAATTATAACAAGTAATAATATTGGAAAGAATATTAAAATAAAATAATAACCAAAGCGAACAAAAAATGTGTCAACAAATCATACTTGAAAACCCATTTGTTTAGGTATATAAAGCCAAACCACCGAGGTTGTCCCTTGAGACGCGTGGAGCTTTCAATTGTGCAAGAAGGGTCAATGCACGTAATTATATATACACACACACGCACATATATATACATATACACATATATATATGTGTTATATGTGTGTGTGTGTGTGTGTATGTCGAGTAATAAATTTGGATAGTTAGTGTGTGGTCACGTTAAAATCTTTGAAAATTGATAAATTTAAGAGTTTCCACGAAGAAAACATCAAATTATCAAAGACAAAATTTTAAAATAGGTGGCAAGACAACGTAAGCTTTTACAAAAAAAAAAAAATCATCTCAATAAAAAAAAAACTATTTTTTCCTCTTTCTAATCGATTTTCTTTTATGTTTGAAAGGATGCCATTTTTTTTAGAATTTTTTATTTTTTTTTCTAAGCATATGTTTCATTTTTAGATTAGATAAAATTTCGTGTCAGAATCCATCTATATTTTACTATTTATTAATTTTTGTCCACCTATTTATATGAATCAAATTCTATAAATTTACAAATACGTGATAGCCTACTTTGACAAAAAAAAATACGTGATAGCCTACAACGACGTTCAACTCACGCGTAGATACAATAAATCCAATAAAAAGTTGATGTGATGTATTAAAGATAAATATAGAATGGCAGATTTTTTAAATTTCTATTATTATTATTATTTTAAAACTATTATCTTATTAAAACTAAAAAAACTTTCGTAAATCTTATATTTTCTAAATAATTTATATCTAATATTCTCATAAATCAATTTATTTTAACTCTACATTTACTTCAATTTTTTTTTTCTATTTCTCAATCTGACGTTAATAACACGTAATTAGATATAATAATCATTTGGTTATATCATGAACAGATAATGACATACGTAAATTAATAAAATCACATATATTTAATGGATAAAAAAGAGTATAAAGGCGATGTGATACGTAGCAACCCCGTAAAGTTTGGAGCGTGTTTGCCACGTCACTCCAAGCAGCGTGACGGAAGTCACCGAATAAAATCCAATAAATTTTTTTTGTGGTTAAAAATCCAATAATCCTTAACACACACACATATATATATATATATATATATATATATTAAATCAAGATAAAAATAAAACTGAACAGTGAAGAGAAGAGACAAAGACAGTAAAAAATTACAATATATATATATATAGTTATGTATATATAGAAAACACGGTCAATATTCACTTCTATAAAGAACATGTACTGGTAATATGCATGGATTTGTTTTCGGAAATATGTACAAAAGTTAGGTGACCGGCGATGGTGAAGAATAGTCAACCGGTTAAGAGTTAACCGGGAAGAACCGGTAAGAGCAGAAAATTAAGAAGCGGAAAGGGGGAGGGGGGACCATAAATCACGTCGTTACTCGCGGGCTTACCATAGGACACGTGTCGCGACGTGGTCGTCTGGACCACAAAAGGTCCCCACAAGTGGCATGCACTCGGGATAAGAATCCTAACCGTACATTTGGATCGACGCAAAAATAAAAAATGAAATAATTATTTGTTTCAGAAGGAAACAAAAAAATGGAGATTAAAAAAAATTAGGAATTAGGAAAATAAAAAATGTGGGGACCAATCCTAGAATTTTGACTTATGACAGCCGCCGTCTGAATCAACGCAGATGGACGGATTTAGCCCGATCAATTAAATATAATAATAATCATAATGATAATAAATAATAATAATAATAATAATAGTAAGGAAAAAATAGAACCCACAAGGGCGCGTGGGTACCACTCGTTGGAGGGAGGTGAGGTGGAGATTATACACTTATTGCCTAATGGTCCCCTACCTACTCGGCCTTCTATTTCCATACAATTACAATTTATAACCCAATGTTTTTTGTTTTCTTTCTAAATAAAATAGTATCCCACTTTCATATAATGAAACTTACAACCGACAAATTGAAATTATACAAAAAGTAGATTACAGGAACATAGGATTTCACGACATCAAATATCAGTATCTTTTGCTCCATATTTTCACAATATTAAATAACAGAAATATGAGATGCCAATAAACCTATGTTCAAATAAATAAATATACAAATATTTGATTATGTTCAAATAGAATAAATTTAACATTTTTTTTTCTGAACACCATCGTAGAAATGACGTGAGAAACCACGGGTGGTCCAGACCCTTTTCTTTTCCATGTTCATTTAATTTTGCTCTTTTTTAATTTCTTTTTCAAATTTTCTAAAAAAATAAATCAAGTTTACACAACAATTCGAAAAAATTAGACCATTAATATCATTCTATTTTTAATGTTTTTGTAACGCAGATCTTGATTGATTATTTTATTTTCGGCGTAATTTAATTAGCGCACTAGTAAAACAGAGCGTGGGAGACACGCGAGGGGAGGGCAAGTGGGGGAGAAGACAACAGAACTTGGGATCCATCAAAATATCCGAAGAGTGAGGTGGTGATAGAGAGTAGGACACGTGTCAAAGAATCAATGGCATGGGTGGAAGTCCAGTGTGACGAGATCTACGTTTCGTGTGGAATCAGGTAACGCCAAAAGCAGTCGCATTAACCAATCAGAGCCGTCCATTTCAACCATCTCTTTGGCCCCACACGTTTTACACGAGTCTCCTCCGGAAACGGCAGGGTGGGCCCCCCTAATCGTTTTTATTTTCGGTTTTTTGTCCTTAATTACAACTTAATAATTAGGCTAATAAAAAATATTTGTCCACCTGAAAATAAACTAGAAAGATTCAGTAGCATTTTCTTAAAATAAAAAAAGGTCTAATTACCAAGGAATTATAAGTGACGATTTATAAATAGCCAATGTCAAATTAATTTACTTCCTTTATAATTTTGGTAGACCAAACAAAATAATTAAGGTATGGTCAAACTGGATTTGGACCTACTTTGTATTATTGTCATTGAACAAGATAAGATCACGGTAACACAAAAATCTGATTTAGCGATTTGTTTTCTCCATTTTAGGCGACAATATCTTTAAAATTATAATTAAATTATTAATTAGGTCAATGAGATTTCCTTGAAAATTTAATACCGTCTTAATCCATATTTAAACTCTCATGTTTTATCTTTAACCAAAAAAAAACTCTCATGTTTTATGCAATATTATTTCAAATTTAAAAGCCTTTATTTTATCGCTTTTTTTTTTTATAAATAAAACAACAGAATAGTCATACCATTGATAAGCGTTTATACTAATGGTCATACCTAATTCAAACTATTGAATACACACACATATATATAACGAAATAATTAAAGATATCAAATAACGTACCAACAATGTTGTATTTTAAATTTTACGTACTATCATAATATAAAAACTATAACAAAAAACAATAGATAAATTGGAAATTAATTTTTTTTAGCGAAAATGGAATTAGAATAATTTGAATAGATGTATATTTTTAAGATTGAAAAAACTAAAAATAAAAAAGAAATTAGAAATTTACAACTGTAATAATCAAAGGAAGTTGTAATAATGAGGAGGGTGACTAAAAAAAAGAAGATAGATGCTTTGGGCTGAGTCATGGGTTTGGAGGCTGACACTGTTCTGCTTTCAATGGGAGGGACTGTGTCACTTTCATAACCTTTTCTTGTGCAAAAATTGTCAATAATTTCCATATATATATATATATATGCGTATATATATATATATATATATATTTATATATAACATATTTACGATAGTGTTTTTTCGAGTGTGATAAACATATCGTTGCGATAGCCAAAATATGGAAGTCGTGAGATTAATTAAAAAAAATCTCGAATATCTATTTTTTTAATCGAATTTTATTATTTAATATAGAATTGACTCGTTATGAATAGGGAAAATCGGTATTGAAACAGAATTTGATGTTTATGTCATGGTTTTCTCGGATCTTTATTTTCCAATGAGGGTTTAATAAATTAATTCGGGGAAGATAATGAAACCAATATGATGACGACCATGACAGTTACTATTATAAGTTTTAAATAATAAGCAAAGCCTTTTTTTTCCTGTTGCCATATGGTATGCGCGACATGAAATTATATATATATATATATATATATATATATATATGTAATGGAAAACATAGGAAACTTTTGTGAGGCCTCTGGTTGACAACGAAAGAACCCTAAAAGATATATATATATATATATTATAGAGAGAGAGAGAGCTATATGCATCACACACTTTTGTAATGCTAAGGAAAATTCCACCACAAAGGAGAGAGATAGAGGTTTTCCAATTTTTAGTTAAAGTAAAGATGATACGAAAACGACTCAAATTTTAATTTAGTTATTAATTTCTAATTGTTATAGTTATTGCTACGTGCATGGTTAATGTTGTCATTATTTTGTGGTGGTTCATTAATATTTAGTTTTGGTATACATGCAGCGTTTTTTTTATTACGTATAAGTCACGTTGTCAATTGTGACGTGTGATATCCATATGAATATATATATATATATATATATATATTCATATGGATATACGACAAATCGAAATCGATGTTAAATAAAAAATAAATAAAACTAAAAGACCCAAACGATGGGACTTGTTATTTATCTCGAAAACATTAAATGACCGACCATATTTTTCATGGATTTTTGTGTGTACGTATAATATATATAGATAGCTATTTTTTTATAACATGTATGTATACACAACTAACATAAAAAGTAAAAAAAAAAGTGTATGGATATATGTTTTATAAGTGGATTTCAAGTTGCCGACCGTGTACGTACCAAAGAAGAATTGTCAATAAGTTTGGTCGAAGATTGTGTGGTTATAATATTCGAAACTACTCTCTAAAATCTGCCGAATTAAGAATTTCTATTTATATTATATATATATAATATGATCAGGAATTAATCCTTTTCATGCTTTCCTAGTTTTTGACCTACACACTTTCGTGAAAGTGAATGTCTCATCATTCATTGCCCAAGACTATATATACGTCATAGCATCATCACTTTTACATGCGTACGTACATATACAGAAACATATATAGGTATATATATATATATATGTGTATAAACATAACCCTAATATCATTTTGAAGGTATTGATTCAAATGAAAATAAATTTTTAAATAAAAAAATATTTAGTTTTGGAAACAAAACACAGACATTTCATCATCGATATACATACATCATCGATATGTATGTATGTATGTATATACATACATACATACATACATACATACATACATACATACATACATACATACATACATACATACATACATACATACATACATACATACATATATATATATATATATATATATATATATATATAAAAGTGGGAAGTTAAAATAGCAACAAGTCATGAGACATAATGTCTGCCCCTCTCTCCTATATTAAGCCCCAAAATTAGGATTTTTATTTTGTATGAAAGGACCACCCAAAGGAAAAAAAAAAGGAGACTTAATTTTATATTTAGTAAATTGCATCACAATGGACCACTCTTCCACTCCCCTTTTCTTCATACATACATACATATATATATATATATATATATATATATATATATAAAAGTGGGAAGTTAAAATAGCAACAAGTCATGAGACATAATGTCTGCCCCTCTCTCCTATATTAAGCCCCAAAATTAGGATTTTTATTTTGTATGAAAGGACCACCCAAAGGAAAAAAAAAAGGAGACTTAATTTTATATTTAGTAAATTGCATCACAATGGACCACTCTTCCACTCCCCTCTTCTTTCATTCTCATTGCTTATGTTCTGCCCATACATTGTTTGCTGACTTTTCCTTGTGCATTTTACATCTCTTACCGAATCTTAGGCCCCTTCCTCCACCCAAAACAATATATATATATATCTAATTTGATAATTTATGCTAGTCTAGATTATTTTTGAAAAATGTTATCCTCTATACTTTTATAGCTTCAGTCCGATTTAGATAACATCCAAAGCATTTCTTAGAAATGGCGGTTTAATGTGGATTGAGATTATAGTAAACAACACAACAAAAGTTATAAACGAAATATGCTACAGATGAAATATTTGATGGCAGCAAAAGCAGATGGAGAGAGAAGGATCACCGCACAGAAGAGGAGGAAGGGCGGTCCCAGCAAAGGATGGGCTCGTCGGGAGACTCCGTCCGAGCCCCAGCTGCATCTTCCATCACGGCGGGCGCCCCCCGGAACTTGGAAATACATCGAGAAACTGTGCCGTATCTCTTCCAATGCCTTCCAATACCGGAATTTCCATTCCGATCTCACTCATTGCACCTGAGAAGGGGACGTCACAAAGCCACGTGAACACCTCTTTGACCCGAGGCCCGCATGTTTCGCGGGTACCGTCTCATGAGTATCCGAAATACGGCTACTCGGCAACTACGAGACCAACTATAGGTGGGACGAGAAAAGGAACCTGGACTTTGGGTTCGGGTTTTGCCGTCACGTGATGGATTACCCTCGGGTATCCGCCAACATGCAAAATGATGTTTATACCCCTAGTGTTTTACGGTGATTACAACAACTATTTTTTTGTGCAAAATTACCATTATATCCCTGTTGATCAACTCGAATCAACAAAGATTTGCAGGTTTTCGCGGGTTTGGATACCCGAGCCATGGGTACCGGAGGTCTTGCAAAACCGAGACCGAGATACTTCACCCATAAAGCTCGCGAGGACGAGACCGAGACCAGGTATCCCAAAAACTTGGGGTACACGAACCGAACCGAACCCACCCCACCTCTCTGTACACACGCGCACACACATGCACGTATCACGGGTAGATACGTACAACTGTATCCAAGGTAAAATCTAAACGTGTAAAGCTCGTGTTGTGAGAGTTGCTACTTAAATCGGGTTCGGGTTCTGAACCTAAGCATTAGAAAAGAAGGAAATTATTACCAGCCGCAAGGACAATGGCATCAGCCCCTTCAACGCAGTTCTGTCCTGCTACGTCTCTGATTGCTTCGCTTGTGTTATTGCGGATCATAACCTCCATCGTCTCTGACCATGCTGAAACCAAAACTCAGTGGATCAAGAAGTAGAATATCCATCACCAATGTCTGGAGGGCCACCTGGATAGCTTTCTTGATATTCAATTCTCCCGAGCTGTTCCTCCCTGGCTGCCACCTGGCTTTATCTTGGAAATGAGATTCTTGATCAGTGCATCTATCTCGGCCTTCGTGTCCTTATCTGAGAAGTTCAGGCTTCTATCAGGCTGAGAATCCTTTTTTGAAGGAGGAACCATCAAAAACAGATAACTTAAAATGCTCCAATGGGATCAGTACCCTAGCGGAATAGTCTCAATCGATTCTAGTTTTCGGGTACTTGTATTCTGGAGAATCTTGGACGGTCGAAGATTCATCATCTTCCTCGGCTGTGATTTCCAGCTGGACAGAGACACAGATTTCGAGCACAACAACGGTTGGATTAGATAACTCGAGTTCAAGAAACTGTAGTCCCCAGCTTCCCCTGAAGGGATTGATCTTCACAAGTCTGTTTGTCTTGCTCTCCGACTCAGTCTCTTCATTCCTATGACTGTCACCTACATGTGCAGGGATTTCCATCGAAAGCAAACAAGCTTTCACAAAATATAAACCTTGCAAAACACAGATTTGCAAGGGAACAACGAGCCATCACCTACGTGTGAGGGGAGACTCGCTTGAGAATCTAAAGGTGTCTTCAAAATTGTTCCTGAAGACTCTTCTTGAAGAACCCGCTTCTCAAATTCCATTAACAGTGAAGCAGCTATGTCTTGCATCTGGTTTGTCAATGAAATTCCTGCAGTCAGCTGGAGGAAACAGTATCAAATTGTTGTCACCTTTCTTGTCTCCATCTTCGAGCTGCAAGATAATGCATTTACCGATATAATCATTCATCAATCAAATGTCCCATATAGATCAGGACCTACGTTGAGATAGCAGAAACAACAACCATGAACATGTACATAGACCTAGAAGTCAAATATTGACATCCAAAATGATGGCGGAGGGAGGGATCGTGTGGTGACGGGGGAGCATCGTGTGCTAGTCCCGGAGAGTCACCAGAGGGATGGTTCCGATCGGAAGTACCGCGATTCAGATCATTGACGAGGTCTCGATGCTCACGTCGGGTTCCATGGCGGTGATCGGACGACGGCAGAACCACGGAGGACCTTGCGGTGAGGTTAGTGCAATGGATCTGCAGAACGGAAATGGAAATGAAGCAGGGGAAGGGTCTTGTTTGCGTACAGGTCTTATCGTACTCTAACGGATGACAAGTTATTAAAAGTCGGCCGCGTGTTATTCTGCAAACCAAACAGCCTGATGTTTTTAGGCGTAAGCATGTCCTGTCGTTTTGCGAAGTCAATAATAAACTGTTTGCTGTTCAAGATTGTCAAATTGGAAATTTCGAAATTTTCTGCACTTGCGAGTCCTCGCGTGATCATCGCGAAAGCTCGAGCGGCTGCAGCCATGGCGTCGCCACCATTAGGAAGCTACGGAGTTGAGAAGAGCTTCGGTATTACTGCTGATATTGCTGCTCCTTCGTCACAGATCCGAGAACTCTTAATTTTGTGCTCCACCGTAAGCTTCTCAGCGTCTTCTCGTCCGAGGTTCCACTAATTTTCCATTTGTTTCCCGGGAAAGTTTCTATATGCTTCGAGAAAAATGGGATGCCTCGCTGTTTCGTTATTGGACATGTAATCGGAGCTGTAGATTGTGTTCTTACTAGAGTTGTCTTTTGGTTGTTTTCCGACGGTGTCTACTTAAGTGGATGTTCTAATCGTTCGAGAATGGTTGTCGGTACGAGTCTTTATTTCTATGGATGTAAAGGATTCAGAGAAGAATAGGAATGATTTCTCTTGACATATATCTTTGCATTTTCGGAGAAGATTAGGAAACATCAAGTGAAACCATTGGTTTCTGTTTTTTTTGTTCACTGTCACTGTTTTGAAGGTTGAATTCTAACAGACTAGAATTATATTCTTTCCCCTGAAGAATTTTGCAATCGGGAACTTGAATTCTCGCTCCTTTTTTCACTTGAATTTTATTTAGAAGTGTAGTTTTCATTTGCTTTTATTGCAGGCGGTTGAGGCTGGAGATGTTCCTGAGTTGGAGAACTTGGTAGCAGAACTTGTCAATTCCTTGAATTCGTTGTATGAGGATGTTGCCTCAGATCCCGGCAGTACAGATCTGGAGAATAATGTTTTCCAAGTTCTAGCTGAAATTTTATCACTTTTATCATTACCTGTGGATCAGGTAAATCTTAGTTTGTAAATCTTTCTTATATTATCATTTGTATATGAGCTCACAGGTGGTTTTCCCCATTACCTTGAGTTACAGGTTGTTATGGATGCACTCTCATTTGAGTTGCCAAAATCGATTTCCAAATTCGCCAACATATCAAGCAGATGTTTGGAGACAGTAGACAACATTGTTGATAGGTTTGTGACAGCATGCAGCCCACGGGATATGCTTTCAATTCTTTGTGAGGTATGCAATTTGGAATCGGTTCCGGTTCTGACTGGATATTGGATAAGCTACTAAACATGCTAATCCCATGTTGCTTTGTTACATTTGGTGCTTGTATTTCAATTAGCAACTAACCAGCACTCGTAATGATTGAGTGTTATATATTTTGATGGCCTTCTGAGTCTGAATGATCAGGCGTTGGTTGCTGTTCGGGGCTCTATTGGGGCTTCCTACTGTTCCACTCCTCTATTGCATGGGTTTTCTAAAGGTAATAAAGCAATAGAATATCAAAATTATAGGTTCCTAATAGATCATTATATGATACTACTTATTCTTGCTTAAAATTAAAATTACATTTTTTAGCCTAAATCTTGTTTATTTTGTCTGATTATTTGCATCTAATATCCCATAAGCTTCAGTTGTAAAAAAAAGAAGAATTCCTGCCACTGTTCCTGTGTATTAGGTATATATTTGGTTGCTAAATGCGCACTATGCTGTTGGATATCTAGGAAAGTCTTTTTGATCCAATCATTTTCCCAAATAGAGGGAGTGAAAGTTTCCCAATGTCCTGGTTTCAGTTATTCCTTCAATTCAGAGGCGTCACTATGAGCAACTAAAAGTTGCTGTTCCAGTTGTTGTCAAGATTTTGAAGGACATTTCTTTGGAAACAGAAGTAGAAGTTGAAGATTTATTTAATAAGGCTCTAGGTGTTGCCGTTTCTATTCGTGATGTTTGCCCAAAACTGGTCCGTAAGTGTGAGAAAACCGGAGTTCCCAAGATTGCTACCTAATTTTTGCTCATTCACTTTGGATATTTTGACATCTTCTGTTGCTTTTACAGAAGAGTGAAGAAAACGCAAAACTGCGCTCTCTGCTTGGTCTCTATGTGCTACAAATAATGGTTAGTATTTGAAGTCTGATTTTTCTTCTTTTATGAGCTTCTGACTGCTGCTCCCTAAGTGAAAGCATATTAAAACTTTTTTTTAATAATATCTGTGATACAATCTGGTTTTGCAGGCTCTTCTATCAGTGAGCATCAGAGACAAAGTGGAGAATTGCCTTTCTCTGGCCACTGAATTAGCACCTTTCTTAACATATTGTGGTTACACATATATCGGTTTAATCACTGGGCATGACACCGAAACTGGAATGAGAATCATCGCTGGAGGTTAGCTTCCTACTCAATCATAATCATTTCTACACTAGCAAGTCAATGAATCCTCCTCATGTCTCCTTTTCCTTGTCAAGTGATTAGTTATTTCACGGTTATGATGTGAGTAGATGATGATGATGATGATGATGATTTTATCAATTCTTTATCCGACATCAACCTTGGAGCATCACTGTCAGTCATCTGGGCCAAAATCTCGAACAATGTTGCACAGGCTCCTCATTCTGATTTATCAGATGTTATGAATGAGCTTCAAAACAATCAAGTGAAAAGGTGGCAAACTTATGGCATGCTGAAGTATGTAATTTCTTCTGGCTATCTTCTCTGGGAATTCAGAACACATGCTATTGAATTTTTGCTCGACATAACAAAAGAAGTTACTCCATCGCATGGCAATGATGAACAATTTGACTGCTCGCAGTACACGCCAAGTATCTACACCGCTTTACAGGCATAATGGTTTCTCCTTAGTGTTCACATCAGACCATTTTGGTGTATTAACTTTTTAAGTGTCCTTACCATATATTTTTTCCAGGCTGTCACCTTGGTGATTATGCATGCACCAAATGCAAATCTAAGGAAGAAAACATTTGATGCATTAAAGAGGGTAAGGAAAACATTTCATGTTTAAGATCCCGTTACATTGAAATGACTTCCTAGAAACTAATATCAAGAGGGCAAATGCAAGCCGCTCATTTCTCCTGGCTTTTTGCTTGGGGAAGATCTTGAGATGGCTTTCCTAGATGATATTGATAGGGAGATAAAAATGTATGCACAGAAGCTGCAAAAGTGTCTAATACAACAGGTTCCAATTTTGGCTTTAAAAATAAATTTTTAACAAACAGTTTGGGTTACTTTCTTTTCTGTAGATTACAAACCATATTCAGGTTTCTAAATGAAGATTGTTTAAAAGAAGTTGGTGGCCGAAGCTTGTAAAACCATATCAGTAGCAGTTCCTTACCATTTTCATGGGCTTTGCGGTTTTCCTTCATGACAAGAAGGAATGTCTTAGCCGAGACCAATGCCAACTCTCTCTGTCAACTTTCTGTTCCCGTTATGCTATGTTTTTCTTGCTTCTTTTTAGGCAGAATTAGTTCCTTGAGAACTTATAATTGTCTCAGCAGTTTGGATTAAAAAGCGGTGATCTATATTTTCTTACAGTTTTCTCTATGCTGTTTGATTAGGTTCTTTCTGATATCCCGGCTTCTCAAAGATTTGACGTTTTAAGAGCTCTTGTCACCAATTCCCAGTCTCCTTCCATGGTAAGTATTTATCCTAGTCTTGTGACCTATACAAATATACAAACTGATAACACCTGTGGTGACATTGTGTTTGAGAACTGTGATTACAATATCCATACTACCGCTACACGCTTACATTTTGGGAGTCTATGCACAAAAGCTCCACAATTTAGTGTGCATGACATGGAATAGTCCTATTATTGTTTTTCTATAAACTATGCCAGAGAATCTTGAAGCGATATGTATCAGTGGTTAAATCTGGGAATTCCTTTCAGTAACTACCCGTGGTCAGCGCACCGGTTGACTGACCCATTTCACTTGAACTAATCTTTGTTTCCTCCACGTCATCTAGACGGCGATTCTTCTGGATCTAATTAGAGACAACATGAGTAAGAGAAGCTTGCAGGCTGAAGACATTTTGTGTGTCGACACACATGTTCTTGAGCTGGTCGAGTTGATCTTACGACCTCCAAATGGCGGGCCTCCACTCCTTCCAGAGCAGAGTGATGCGGTACTTTTCCACATTTGTCTTTCATTTCCTTAACATCTTATTTTTTGCTGATCATTCACTGCGCATGTTATATCATGTCTGATAAATAAGTGAATGCATGATTGGAGGTTAAGATGGTTGCGTAATTTTGATTAAGGAAAAACGATGAAAAAACCCTTAATTTGTATATCGTATACCTGAATAAACGTTTTAAATCTAAGCATAATGTCCAAACTTAACATGATTTCCTCTTAAAAGAGAGAATAACAAAAAAAAAAAATTAAGGTAAAGGTCCTGAAACAGTTATGTGTCTCTTGGTCATTTTTCCTTCTGTAACTCTGTATAGTTCAGTCGGGCTTTTTCAGCAGCTCTTGGTGATTCTTTTTCTCTGATTTTGATTTGTTACAATCTGGAAGTTCTCCGACAGAAATCAACCAGAACATAAATTCTTCCAATCACAACGAAAGCACAGTGGTCTCACAGTCGTGTTTTGAGCTCTAAAGCCTACCAGCTTCTGTAAGACTGACTGTTGGCCTCGTGTCTTGGGCAGGTTCTTGCTGCATTGAACCTGTACAGATTTGCATTACTCGTTGAATCAAAAGGTACGAGCCTTAACTTATAGCCGAATCAAAGGTGCTTCAGTTCTTGATTCCTCGATTCACGCTTATTTCATGACATTCCTACCTCTGACCTTACATTCATTTCCCATGGCACGTATAGATCACATGCTTTTAAAACATCCCTGATTAGTATAGAAGTTCTCAGAGATTTAGCAGGCGAAGGTGTTTAGGAAGTGTGTTTTAAGGAACAATTATAGAAAGTCAAAATCAATAGAATTATTGATGAATTTGTAGGAAAAATCTCATGGTTGTTTGGAAAATATAGGTTGTTTATCGTGTAAAATCATCGTAGGTCGTATATTTTCTCCTAATTTATAACTTGGCATTCAACAAAAGCTTAGTTTCTACACGCCCCTCCCCCCTCCCCCCAAAAAAGGACTTAGTTTTTGTAATAGATGCGGTAAATGGACTATCCACTGTATATATATATGTGTGTGGGTGTGGGTGTATATATATGTATTTAATAGTAGGTTTTTAGTTCATAAGATTCTCTGTGGCGTGGTGCAAATGGATAATGGTGGTGATAGTGACATTCCATGCCACCTTTCTTTCAATATCAAACATCACCGAAAGAGACCACTGATGGGATCTTCTTTCTCTATGATTTTGGCAACTACTTATATTTCCTTGCAACTTGCATCTCTCGCTTGGGTTCTACTCCATTGACAAAAATACATCATTAAGAATAAAACACACGCTCCTCTGAATTGCATCTTCCTTTTGGAATTTGTTCTACTTAAGAAAAAGAAAACCCAGAAACTTTATTTTGACAATTTGGCACGTGCATATATACATGTGTGTGTGCGCGCGCATATTATGTTCTAGTTTATCTGTCTTGTGGTACTGTGTGACCAAAGTAGAGGAAAGTGAAACAGATGGGAAAACCAATTCAAGAGGGGTGTCGTCAGAGAAGAATCTACGCAAAGTCTACGAGGAGTGGCTCTTACCTCTTCGATCCATCGTGACCAGAACCATCGCTGAGATCCACGGCCACGGCAACAAGGAAGCGGCACTTGACATTGTATGCTCTATAAACCCGATAGAGCTCGTACTCTATCGTTGCATCGAACTCGTCGAAGACAAGTTGAAGGCTTCAACTTAGATCCACCCCTTTCAAGGGCCATCACTGATGATGTTACTCACCTCTGGTGAGCTCTCTCTGTCTGTCTGAATCTCTCAAGTTTCCTTCTAATTCCAATGTCTCTTATTACTTTTTTTTTAATGAAATGATAACACTTTTTCTTTCTTCTTGCTCTGTTTAGGGTTAATGGATCGTTAAAAAGCCCTTGGGGTTTGCTAAATACAGTACACAACAGCTTCTGATCTCATATATTCGAATCTCTTGTTCCCTCTACAAAGAATCAATAACTCTGTATCCTCTCTCGCTCTCTCTGAATCTGCAAAACTTACATAATCCTCTACACCAGAGATCTCTTATCTTAAACGTGATCCTCTTCACCCGGTCGAAAACCCTCACACAGCAAGAGCTTGGTGTCGCTGCTTTGCCGAAATCTGGGAGAGATGGCCGGGGTTTACTAGCTGATCTATATAGATCGGAGACCAGTTGTTTTCCATATTCATTCAGAGCCTATCCTTGTCCCATACAGAGTCGCCACAGCCAAAGAAAAGTCAGCTGTCGTCAGACGAAGGCGTCATATTCAGATCCGGAAGCAAGAAGCTCCTCTCGGACATCGACTTTTCCACCTCCCCCTTGTTACGATGCATGTGCTTCGGATCCAACTGATATATAATACACTGTTAAGAGAATGTTCTCGGGGAAATGTTTCAGGAGTCGAACCCGCGACCTCTAGGGAAAATGCAATCATCAATATAAAAAAAAAAAAAGAATGTGGTTTTCACCTTCATCTTCTTCAAGCTCTCGATCTCAGTGTCATGCTCGTCGAACGTGGCACAGAACAACGCAATTTCCTGCTCATTTCGTGAAATTTTAGTAAAGCTCCGGTTAATGTGCAAAGACACAAGACACGTTCAGAATTCTGCAACCCGTTTAGCATGGGAGAAAGAGGAACAAACCCTCTTCAAGCAGATTCTCTCCTTCAACAGGTTGTCTTCTTCCTCCTCAAGTTCAGCAAACGTCTGGCAAAAGGAAAACCACCCAGAAAAAATAAATATTGTAAATCATTTTATCTCATAAGGATTGCAGTCAGGTTCTGATGGAAAAGATCCGATCTTTATGCACCTTCTTCTTCCTTCCTCTATTGGAGCTAGATCCGTTTGAGTCTCGGGTGATTATAGTCTGGGATTAGGAACAAGACCCATTAATAAATTGAGGGATTAGAGAGAATAGTCAAACATTGAGCAAAGAACGAAACCCAACAAAAAAAATACAATGTCGACACAACAAAGTCTTGAACCAAATGGAAGACAATGTGTGGTGGATAACCTAACCTCTGAAAACCACAATGCACGCAATTAATAACGCAAAACAGTCCAAAAACCACCGGAACTAAACCACTACAAAACACACTCCACGTAACAAACAAACAAAAAGGGAAAATTATTAATTTCTTAAAACTAACAAATCTAATTTAGTAGCATAATTTATAGATGGAAGAAAAAAGCCCATTTCTTGATGGTTGAATATCTTGCAAAACAGTAAAACCTCCCACTGTATGCAACTATTATTCACATTTCCTTGACAGCGACTCAGTAAAACATCACAGAACACAATTCACGTGATTGTCCTCACGCGACCTGCCTGACATGGCAAATGGCTACTGGCACGTTTCCCAGTACACAACTCTGACTTTAACCCCACAAAAATATAAAATTCAATGGGGAATTGCATTGCATGTGCAAGACCATCCAATCCAACCCCCCCAAAAAAGGCAAGCAATTTGTGTTTTCAGAACCAAACAAAGAAAAAAAAAAGAATTTTAACACTATAGAATCAAATGGGAACGCAATTTATGGATTAAAAAAAATATTGATAAAAATTTGGGGCCTGTATTGAAGAAACAAGAGATACGACCCATTACCAAAACAAAGACATAGGCCCATCACATAATGTGGGTTAACCAGATCAGTGTTTATTTTCATTATTTATCACAAAATAGTGCAAAGAAATCCTTCCCCATTTTTTTAAACATTTTGTCCAAAAGTTTTCCTCAGTTAATTATGCAAAACCATAGCATCCTGCGTTTATTCTTCACATCAGTCTAGAATGAAATCAATCAATACTTCACATTTTATGAGACGACAAATCAGGATATTTTCATTGTCAACAAATCAGTATTGAATTTGTTTATTCGGAGGATCAGTGTAGAGCATGGCACCAGAGCATTGCTCCTGAATGACAAATCAAATCATACCTAACAAAAAAACAGAAAACGGCGACGTTCGCACCCTTTCCATTCCCCCCCCATCCATCTTCCCTCTCCGGGGAGACAAAACCCATACATCGCATAATGACAGGAATACCCTCGCGATGCGAGACACGAAAACTCTGTCGAGGGGTTTTTTGGTCAATATTTTTATTCTTTGCCCTCTGCGAAAATGTCCTTTGGAATCTAATGCAGAATGTGTTGGGGAAGGAGACTCGATGGAACCTCGAGGGAAACAACCCTGAACGAATGAAGAAAAAAAACAAGGAAGCTGTGTATCGTGAAATCGCGAAAATCTCTCCTAAATTTCGCGTCCAAAAGAAAAATCAGAGATTATTTATTCGAATCCAATTCAAACGTTATAGCTGATCGAAGAGATCGATGCAAAATCACTCGTCGCAAACACCGATGAAAGTCTCGTGAAATTTACGGGTTCAGCCTCTCCGAGGGTCTTAGAGAAACAGAAAGGAGACAGGATTCACGGCGACGCGAAGGTTTTCATCCATGGAGACAAAAAAATAAGAAAAAATGAATGAAAAGGACAGAGCCACTCGTCATCAACTTCGCCACTGTGGCAAAGCCGTGGTCTCCCACGTCGGCCGGGGGCATTTCCGGCTAACCATGAATCGTAACACGTCAGATGCACAGATCAGCTCAGCGGAGATTGGAAAACGAGAGAGAGAGAGAGAGAGAGAGAGAGAGAGAGAGAGAGAGAGAGAGAGAGAGAG